AATTGTTCTCTCTTACCATTTTGCCTGCATCTGGGTGTTTATTGAGCGTGTGGGAGCCATATATTGCTTTTGCTTTGAAGCTGTTTTTATTACCCCCTGATTATCTCATAATTGTATAGGCAGCCTATTGTGAAGAGGAAGGTCATTACTGAAGGAATCATGAAAAAGGGAACAGATGAATCTATATGCTGTAAGAAAGATCTGGAGAGTTTTGAGACCCATTTTTTTTTCTTATATAAATTCTGTTCTGAATCTGATTTACAAGTTGTTAAGCGAATCTGGCAATGCAGACAGTTCTTGACTTACATTCATTTAGTAACAGTACTGGAAAAAGTGACTTATGACCGGTTTTCATACTTATGACCGTTGCAGCTTTGATCATGGTTACATGATCAAAATTTGGGTGCCTAGCAACTGGCATGTATTTTTGACGATTGCACTGACCCAACGTCATGTGACCACCATTTATAACCTTCTCAGCCAGCTTGTGAAGATCAAAGTCAATGGGGGAAGCCATATTTGCTTAACAACCACATAATTCACTTAGTAACTGTAGTCATTTGCTTAACAACTGTGCCAAAAATGTCTCTAAACTGAGGCCCTACTTAGCAACATAAATTTTTGGCTGAATTTTGGTCATAAATCAAAGACTACCTGTGGCTAGTCTTAAGGTTTAGAGAAATAGATTAAGATTTAAGAAAACTGCTGAGATAAATATCTGCAACATTGGAATTACTTACTTTAGATATTACATGAGGATGTTGGGTATTGCTTAATTGTTACATTTTTAGTGTCGTGAAGCGCAGAGAAACCAGCATGGCTATTTAATGCGCCCTCTCTCCATTCCTTAAAAAAGAGTGTGAAGTTTATAATATAAACTTGAAGTATATGATATATGAAGTATATCATATAGTATATGATATACAGTTTACAATCCTGTTAAAGTAAGATTTTACTGGCAGACCATGCATACAACAAGATGGGAACTGGAGGAAGTATTGTATAGAAGTTCCCTGTGTGCTCAGATAAGTTTGTGATTGCTATATTGATTAGCTGTCAGAAATAAAAGATGGTTAGGCAAAAGTACTGAATTAACCCTGCTAGCTGTTGTCAGGCTCACTGCTGCTTAAAATAATGGACAAGGGCTTGTTTACAGTAAATTTTGCTTTCCATTTCAGTTCTATCTTTGTGGCTCTGTGTTATACATTTAATTAAATTGAAAGACAAAATTCAAAGGCTCATATGCTAAATATTTTTTTTAGAAAAATGTAGCCATAAAGCCTACAAAACACACATACACTCTATCACCATCCCCTTTTCTCCAGTGGGAAAATAGTGGCAGATCTTTGCTTAGTTGTAGTGGTACTGGAATAATGACACAACCACAATATGCAGACATCTTTAATTATCTTGGATTTTGCCTAGACTCTTCATTGGTGCTGGCATAGTGGGAACTTTTATGAATTGTACCTTTGATCTGTACTCTGTGAAACACCCTGATAATCAGTTTAACAGTGCAAAAGAATAATCTCTCATAGATTTAATTTTCATTAAACCTTGGATATATTTAACTTCAGATTGATTGAAAACTTGTCACGAAGCAAAAATAATATGGCATTTAATTCCATGGCTTTATTGGGGGAAGGGGTTGTGCCTTGCTTAGTTTCTCTTGCAAAAAGAGGCTTTGGATGTATGTAGGTATGGTATGTATTAAATTTATTTGCTGCCTATCTTACTTTAGACAGCTTACAAGATAAAAACAAAGAAATGATAAGAAGTATAAACATAATAGTAGCAAAATAATGAAACAATAAAACAATGAAAACACAGTAATATGAGATTAAAAGATGGGTGGGGGGAAGCAGGGAATGTGTGTGGGGGGGAGGTGGAATTTGCTATCAATCTAGCAGCTACCTCCATTGGGTCCTCAGGTCAATTGGCAGAGCCAGGTATTCAGACTCTTGCAATATGCAGAACATAGCACTTGTCTACTACTCCTTAAGGCAGCCATACAGCTAGCCCTCACTTACTGACCACTCATTTCATGACCATTCAAAATTACAATGATTTTAAGATTAATCTTCAAAGTTACAGCCATCACAGTGTCCCTGGGGTCATGTGATCGTGATTTGAATCTTGGCAACTGGCACATGTAACAACCGTCGCAGAGACCCATGGTCACATGATTGCCACTTGCGACCTTCATAGCCAGCTTCCAGCAAGCAAAATTATTGGGGAAGCCCAAGTAAATAGCAAATCGTGAGCATGCATCGTCATGCTTAATTTCGTTAAGAGCTGCAAATGGAACTGATGTTGTCAGTCAGGTATGGTCAGATGATATTTCACTTAGCGATGGAGTTACTGTTCCCAATTATGGTCAATAAATGAGGACTACCTGTATATTTCCCTAGGACTGCATATGGTACCATAAATTAATTAATGATTAATAAAAACTAATATATTTTAAGTAGCTTTTCTTATCCTTATTCTTCCTCTCATTCTCTGTATTGAAGAAATATCATAAAATATACCAATGAATGCTTAAAAAGCTGCTTGAAGGACTTCGGAATAATTTTGCATTTAAATAGTTTTGTACTGAATGTTCAGGTAGATGAGAGTGACCTATTGCTTAGCTGGAAGATGGTACTACTTCTACATTTCTACATATTTTTATCATAGAAAAAATGTTCAGATGCTTATACAGAGCATGTGCTAGACTATTAATTTTGAACCACTGCTTATTAATATGCTTATCACTTAACCAGCATCTTGGTAATTAAGTGGTAGCCCACCTAGTGGGCCACCATCTGTGAAGTCCTGGGTGAAATAATATCCCTGAAGAAGACAGTTTAAATGCCTTTCATTTCATACTCAGAAAACTATAATAATGAGTCTATATCAGCAAGAGTTAACCATGATTCAAAGACAACTTTAAGGTTTTTTTTTCCTTCCTTATTCCATTAAACAAAATGTTCCGTCTCTGATATCCAAAAATCAGCAATAATTTTGTGGTGAAAACCCAA